ACTCGCCACAGTGATCGCTCTATTGTCAAGTGGACAGCCTTGTTAAAAAACCCTATTCTCGAGTGGTGATCTGTTTGCGCTCATTTTCATGATGGAACTGAAGACACGGTCGTGTGCAGTGCAGTCGACTGCGATGTGATATTCTTCCCAAGCGGTACTGAGTAATGGCCATCTTTGTTTCATCTAGGTTTTCAGGGGTGGAAAATTAGTAAGCCACATTCATTCATGCGATGGTACCTTGATCCACTTACAACTACTTCCATCGCTGTTAACTTAGTTCGCACTTACCCAGCCACATTTTATGTGAGTCTTTTTTTCAGTGACACTATCAATGTAAATCATGCTTTGATGTATGACTTGTTCATTCCAGTGACTCTACACTATGTCATTCTCCGTAAGCCGCAGACAATCGCTTATGACATTTGAAACCATTTTGTCTTCTGTTTCCATGGTGCTACGAGTGATTTGTCAATGGGCGGTAATCGCAACTGATGACTCCTTTCGTGGCACGTGGTTGGAATGTGCTTAGCTACGCAAAATATTTTAAACCATTTCAGAACTTTGTCGGGCCAGTGAAGTCCGAAAATAGTCCTTTGGGAATGAACAAAGCGCTGATGATGTCAAATCGGCCGTCGAAGGAACGTTTCAGATCGAATTGCCCCGCTCAGCGAACAAGCCATCTATGCTACATGATCTACTGAAATTTTCCTCTTTAGTAACTTCAGAAACTTGACAAATGTTTGTTTATTAGACAACAATTTGTTAGTTATAGACTATCGTGTCTGCGTCGCGTCACACCAGTTTGAGACATTGCGCGTACACGCAGCTTTAATTTTGTATTGACATTATTAGCAGGAACGCAATATGTGCTTTGAGTTACGTGCATTGTCCTTGAGTCAAGTACATTTCCGAAGAGAACACTGGATGGAGGAATGCGCTGCGCCACGGTAGGTTTGACAGTAACTTTTTTCATGGAAACTTGAGAAAAAAGGTGGCTGAGTTACTCTGACGGTATAATTTAGGATCATGGTCTAAAAAGTGTAAAGTCATCGGATAATTTGTTAACCCAAAGAGTTAAACGTAGATTTATAACTGGTGTCCGGTGCAGTTATCACAATAAAATTCTGCTTCCTTCCAGAGGACATAAGAGTTGAGAAAGTTGAGGTGAGTGGTTGTTCAGAGGTAAAATGTAGTCATTTATACTATGCCGTTCATGTATTTTAAATGGCATCTATTCAAAAATATTGCATGAGTCGGTCACACCAATCACATCGCTTAAGTGGGAACACATTGGCCTGTCCAGAGGTGAAAATTCAGATGCGTCCAACATGCGCTGGTGGAGTAGTGGTCACACGCTGGCCTCGCATGCCAGATGTCCGGGGTTCGAATCCCGATATGGCCATTGGATATGCACTGCTGATGAGCTCTAATAAGAGCGAAACCCGAGTCCAGTGCTTCCCTCCCATTGGTATGGACTCACCGAAATAATTACATCAGAACAGGAGGACGATCATTCAAACGAGAGTGATGTGGCTATGAATTTAACCGATAGTTGGTGAATGGTGCCCCACAGCCAACCAAGAAGGCAATGCGTCGGACAAAATGATGTGTACGATAAAACTCATGCACTTTGCACGGAAGCTTTAGGTCCACTGACGCACTGTGATGACGGTCTTGTTTGTGATGTGAGAAAACCCCATGGTTTTGTTGATGAGCCGGGCTTTCCTTCAAGCTTCTTTCCCACTCCACGGACAACGAATTCACTCTGCTTATTCATAAGATGTATCGTCAAATTGGATTTGAAAAAAGCTGGAGTTCAATTAACTTGATGAGAATGTTTCACGCCCCACTTGCGTGTTCTTTTTTGTCTCAGATTTACCAACGTAGTCAGTGTTTGCGCCGGCTCCTGTATATTTACATACAGCGTGGTATTTCCGAAAGTACGATTTCGGTTTGACCAATTTCAGGGCTGGAAGCGTAATTATGTTATCTGTGATATTTCCGACACAGATTGTTGGTGCCATTTTCTTTTACGGTATTTTATGGTCAAATTGTGTCAAACGATTTCAGAGGTGGCTGGTAAGCGAAAAGGTTTTTCGATTTTTACAGGATCAGTTGTCTGTGCCTCTTTGTGTGGAAAGTTCAGCGCTTTTACCGCACCAGCTTTTGTTGCATATTTATGGGAAATTCCCTGCTATGAGTGCTGTTGAGGCTAGTACTGCGGTACCCGCTGGGTGTTTCCCGTATTTGTTAGACAAGCAGCAAGGCAGCATCTGAAAATCAAACAGGTCAAAAGCACTACGAAACCTAAGTTTCATCTCCCATATCAGTTACACTTAAGTACTGAAAGTCGTGTGCGAGGGCGCCCAACAATTGGCGTTTACTTCAGTTCTAAGCCAACGGAAGCGCTCACTCCAGTGTCACAAATTAGGTCCGTAAACTCAATCAGGGAATTACACGACCTGAAATGCAATGCGATGCTTGATTTTTTTCTAACTTTTAACATTTTACGCCAACAAACGCCGATGTTTTGGGCATAATATTACCTATCATCATTAGTCCGGCAGCGAGACAAACAAATGAGGGTAAGCCTATCACACTGCCAATATTTACATCGTGAAAAGTTATATAGCTACAGTTTACTTAATAAGAAACGGTTCTGGCCATTTCAGTTTGCAGAAGGCTTGATCGTGAAAATTATATAGCTACAGTTTACTTAATAAGAAACGGTTCTGGCCATTTCAGTTTGCAGAAGGCTTGATTGTGTTAAAAGAAATTCAACCATTTCAGATCAAACATTTAGCGCGTGGCGTTTCGGTTACCTTTAAGCACCAACCGTGCTACAAAAAAGCCACACACGATGGGTAACTAGTCGATAAAAAGAATGTGGCGTGGAAGGATTGCTTCTTCGCAAAAACAAATTGATTTGCAAAAGAGTGTATTTCTCGGAAACAGTCTAGTTTGGGTTCAATTCGAACATACGTTTGACGGAAACTCGGGGACTGTGCCTACCTGATGAGCCCAAGAAGGGCGAAACCGGTCGTGGGCTGTCGAAGAGTTTTCAGCAACCTTGTGAGTTGTTTCCTTCATGAAAATCATCCGCAAACGACGGTCGATTTCCAACTGGTAAAGAATGGTTGGGGGTGTACTTGCACCAGTGAGATGTTGCGTTCAGGAGCTCCTTGGGTGAATTTCGGTGGTTTTTCTTCCACCAACTTGCCCGCCTTCAATAAAATTTCTTCGGCGATACAAAGTGACAGATTCACAATGCCCTATTTGTTCAACCAGAGGGGGGGGGGCTGCACCAATCCAATTGTAAGAATTCTGGATTTTGTTCGTTTTCTTTTGTTGTCTGAAACCAGTACAGCGGTAAGGTCACCTATTATCAGGTGGAAAATCAAATTATCGCCAAGCTCGATAGCTCGCTCGCAAACGTTCTGTCATCACCAGAAGCGGCATCCTCAGTGAATTCTTTATTTCTAATTCCCGAAATTATGTCTAACCGATCCTCCGACAGGATTAAATACCACCCGGTTGCAAGCGAATTTCAAAACTTTTTACCGTTTTTCTCATTATGGATAAATTTCGTTTAGTGTTCTCTCGCTCAGGGCCACTGAGCTGCGCCTAATCCCGGCACGTCAATCTCGCGACCACACGCCCTCTACCAAGTCACCGTAATAAGCCACTGATTAAGCAGCTGAATTTCAAATGTTTCGAATTCAGTCGCCTCTAAATTCAATCGAAGGAGCTGATCAACTCTTCAGTCATTTGTTGCGGTGAACAAACCTGTGACCGTTTGTTGGTAAACTGAATAAAGCAAATTATATTTGGTTCTGCCTACTCGTTCCTCCTTTATTCACCTTTCAGATGGCCTGGGACATTGATTGACGCAGCACAGGATAAACAATCAAGTAGAAAACTCTGAGTTTTCGCACAAACCTGCACTACATTTTCTGCAGACTTTCTCCGTTACACGGCAGCAACTTTGTGTTCGCTCTGTTGATAAAAAATAATTGAATTTCTCATGTGACTGCATGCATGCAAATGCGGTTGTTTTTCTCCCCGGCTTACGGGTTGGTTAAAGAAATACTTTGTGCTAATTAAAATGCCGAATAAAACTGCTGTCCCGGAAATCATGGAACTGTTGGGTAATGCGAGCTTGCGAACGAGTGGCCGAGGGTTATAACATCGGGGTTTTCCCAACGCATGACAAGACCAAACGTCTTTTGATAGTCATCTTCGTGAGAGATGAGGTAGAAAAACACGGGGTTTTCCTTATGGCCTACCGCAGCCGTCGAATTTTCAGGGGGCCCATCGCTCATTCGAAACAGATTGGACCTGAATTTCCTGGTGGTATGCAGCTTTCTTGCTTGAATAGAGAACGTTCTGATTTCACCAACAACTGAACTATGTTTAAAACCTGTTGTCCACAGCATTTGTTCGCCAGCTTCTTTCTCGTCCGAGGGAGGATGCCGAAGGGATGTTTTTCAGGGAAATATTCTTTTTCGATAACCGGTCTGCCCCAAAACTTGGTGACAAACGGAAACCTGGAATTGCACTGTTGCAACCAATGGGATGCGTGGCCGTCACGACTCCGATTCACAGAATTCGTATCGTTCCGCGGAAGACTCACAAACGGTGCCGTCAGAAAGATGCCCCTCCTCTGGCTGACGGCCAGTTGTGACAGCGTCATGGAATGCTGCTGAGCATTTGCTGTCATAAGGGTGAATCCAGGTCACTCGCCACACATGCAGAGGCGGATGAAGCTGGACGCGTTGGTCGCAACCTGGTGGAGAGGAAGAAACTCTCGGCCAGTGCCTATTTTGTGTATGTGGTGAATAATATAGGCACGTTTGCGCTGGGAAAACCAATCAACACAAAGGAACGCAGACCACAACGCAACGAAGATCACAATTAAACGTATAGATTCACTAAATTCGTTACAGTTCAAGTAGCCGATCACGTCAGAAGATAATAGATAGCCTTCGAATGCTGTATAAATGCACGCAGGCAAGGAGGAAGTACCCACCCAACTGCGCACTGATGATGTCTCCTCGTATGATAACGAAATGTTTGTCAATCCTGGCTAACAGCTCAACCGCCACCTGATTAACAACCAACAACACCTTATTATTAGATAACCGTTCGCGGCTCATCAAGGCCGAAAGCGGTGATGCTCGCACGCCCATTAGGTTGCACATTCCTGCATTCCTGTACATATATGAGCGCACACTGCCGTTTTAGCAACTCGTAAGACCGCGCAATCTTTTTAGAGAAACGGTCGCGTCTGTTTATATGCAACGCCAACGTGCATTGACGCCGAAACCCCGACTGATTCAGGTGTTTGCCCCATATCCTATTGCATACGATGGCATTAGTGCAAAACGAAAGCAAAAATTGGTATCTATGGGGAAAAGTGCTTTTCTTAAGGCATCAGAGGTCAGAGGGCTTAATGCCACACAGCTTCACGGTATTTGACACAACTTCATTGAGTGAGCATCGTCCAACTACGGATCCTCTATAAATTCACAATGATCCGAAGTGTTGAGAATGTGTCATTCCGTTTTGTGAAGTCAGTTCTGCCTTGGCAACGTCTCTCAGTGAAAGCTCTCAGTGAATGCTCACAGAACTGCATTCGACAAATGGACCTCAGAAACGGGAGAGTTCACTGCTTTGTCGACAGTCGCACGGACATCAGCATCCCAATGTATTTGGTGCACCCAGTATTGGTCGGGCGTTCCCAACCAAATTGCTGAGCACAACAAACACTTAGATCAAGAGGTCAGAAGCCTGTATCCACGAGCCCTGTCTCTGATATGTGAATGCTCTTCGCGTCACCGTTGTTTCGAACCCTGCTTTCGGTCTCCCCATTAAAAAAATGGCATTCAGGTCCATTGGGTGCGGTATTCCCGACTGCAGAAAAATAATGTTCAGTTTCGCTTACGCAGTTAGCTGGAAAGTCCATTTGGTATCTATCACTTAAAGTCCTTGTGTTCAATTCGTCGCCGCGTGCCTCTATAATGTTCGTGTGTTAACATACCTCCTTCAAACTTCTGTAGGGATATAGATGGCTGCGAGGTTTACATGGTAATCAACTTGCACTAGAACACCAAATGTCAAAATCAACTTGTGGGTATTCTCCTTCCGACAACTGGGAAGCTGTCAACTTCTCGGTCGTTCTTGGGCGGCTCCCCATGGAGTGGCTATTTAACTGTGAAATCTAGTAGGGTTCTTCGTACAGTGACAAAGTCGACTTTATATCGTGATGACTCGTTGTTGGGTAGCATTGTTAAGGTACTTTTGTTAGATTTCTTATGCCGAAATCGGCAAAAATACTAACGACGGCGCCACCGGGGTTCATTATTTTTCCCTGGTCACACTTCACCTGGTGTACACAGCTCTCCTCACAGGGCGAACAGTCCGGATAAGGAAAAAGTATGTCGATGAACAATAGGTAGTAAGTCTGAGTTGGTCTTTGAAAAACGCTGGCTAGAAAATTCTTGCCGAAAGAATAATGCCACGTGGCCGAGGTTCCCTGTTTGAGAGTACTCACCACCACGACTCCAGTCTCTCACTCGCACTGCCAAATCTCATTGGGATGGAAGGCAACAATCCCAAAGTCACTTTTGAACTGGAGAATGCCGCACTCTTTCATATAATGCAGCACGGTTTTTTTCAAGAATAT